GAGGGGAGGGGAGAGGAGAGGAGAGGAGTCACCCTTATGAAACTATTAAAGAACATAATCTCATGGCAGGTCCGAGCTCCCTGCTAAGAATTACAGGAAACTGATAATTTGGTCCATATCCTATAAACAAGGGATTTGAGTCTATGGGATTTGTGACCCTGGATGGATTCTTTCACAATCCCTAAATTAACTCGTGAATGCAGGCCTGGACTCAGCCGTTTCTATTAGCCTGTATCTGACTATCCCCATTTTTCTCTATTAATTAATTCCAGACACAACTTGTAAACAGAAGGGCAGTGCCAGGCTCCCCAACGTGGAAAGACAGCATCTTGCACAATTTTCTTCCCCCAAAGTGGTGAAGAGCGAGGGCTGGGTCTCATACTCGCACATGCCCTGAGGACTCACACTATCCACAGGAACCCACTGTCCCTGGACTCCCGCCATCCCTGGACTCACACCATTTCACCTCGGGACCCCTATGCTCGACCTGACCTTTTCTGTGCCGTCCATATTTTTGTTAGTGGAAAAGAGATCCAGGTATTTAAGTCCAAGAGGCTTCTTTTCGCTTCTTTCTGGCCTCGACCACGGGAGGAACCCGAACACCCGACCCCAAATCCACGGGAGCTGGGGCTCCCCCTTCGCGGTCAGCAAACTCACCATAAAGTGGCCACTGCGACCCCAGATTCTCTCCTCAAAATACACGTCCATCACCAGCAGTGTTTGCAAAACTAAATCTCTCTCGCGTCCACAACGAGGACCACCTGGCAGAAGACCCGAATGATCTCACACCCAGCTGGTGACGTGCGTGATGACGCTACATCCACTTCCGGTGACCACAGAGACCACTTCCGGTGCTCGATTTCCTATTTCACCTTGATTCCGCCAAAACAGAACTGCGTGAGGAAAGATGTGGAGGGTTCCCAGATTTCCCTTCCCGTATTCCAAATAAAATAGTCCATTTTCATCCATCAGGGAGCTTCTGCGCATGCGGCTTCCATGACGTCATTTCCTGCGCTTGGTTCCTGGCATCAGCTCCTCCCTCCGTCGTGGTCCACTGAGGTTTTCAAGAAGGCTTGGGATTTGTGGCTGGTCTTGACGCCCATCTGCATTAACGTGGTCTATGAATTGAAGTATCAGCAAATGCTATGTTGTTGTTGTTATGTGCTGTCGGGTTGCCTGTGACTTTTAGCGACCCTATGTACAAATCCCGCTCCAAAATCCTGCTCCATCCTTTGCCAATCTCATTGTCTACCCCACACCTTCCCCCATTACCCCAGTCACTGAAGCAATCCATCTCATCGAGGGTCTTCCCTTCTTGCGCTGACCCACCACCCTCCCAAGCATGATGTCCTTCTCCAAGGACTGATCCCTCCTTACAACAAGTCTCAAGTTATGTCAGTCAAAGCTTCAAAATCCTTGTCTCCAAGGGACAGTCTGGTTTCACTAGCTCCAGGACCTGGCTTGTGGCGTACGTGATGACACTCCAGCCACTTCTGGTCACCATAGCGAGCACCTCCTGTGATATAGTTACGATTTCACCTTGATGCCACCAAAAGAGGGCAGAAATAAAGAGCTGCATGACAAAAGGTGTGCAGGAGTCTGTTTATATACGCTTGGTTACTCCCTCCATTACGTTCCCCTTCCGGTTCCCCCCCTTTTTAAAAATTTATTCACTATTCCCCCCCCATGCATATTGACTAGTTTTATTGACGGATTTTACAGGATTGAACATTTTATTACATTGAAGACAATTTATATGAGACAGCATGGTAGTGAGAGGTTAAAGAAGTCCAAGGTCGGAGGAATCCCCTATTTTGCCAGCCAATGCCATTTCTAGGGAAAGAGACTGTTGGACAGGAGGCGAACACTGGTTATCTTCAGTCAGTGAGTGGCTCTGGACACACAGCAGTACCAAACCTTGGGCCCGAATTTCAAAATCCAAGCTTTCTAAACATTGTACCATTTTTTTTGTTTTGTTTTGTTTTTTAAGTTATTATTAAATTTTATTAGTTTTAATGAACATTTACAGAGATTTGGGGTTCTCATTCATTCATTGTTGCACTGTTTTCTCTACCCTCTTCCCCAGTTCGTTCTTCCCCCCCCCCCCCATGTCTGTTTTAATTGTCCAGTTGCCACAGTGCTTGACATTGGACCATTTTCAGCAGCCGTCTCCTCGCTGGGTCCTACTATCATCACGAGTCTGACCTGAGGCTGAAACCACCGTTCCAGATGGATAAGCGAGCCGCTGTGACCCTCAGTTCGGTGAAGGAGCGTGTCTGAAGGGCCTGTGCCAAAGATTTGCTCTTCAGTTTCCTCATACATGCAAAATTCCAATGGCTGCACTAAGTTTTCAGGCACGCTCCACCATGGCTTCTTTGAGAGCACCTTCTCCCGGGACATCCTCACTCCCATGTTGTTGTTTGCTTTGAGCTGATACATGTTATTTTTTTTTAATTATGCAAGTTTACCGCTTTAGTTTGCTTGGCTCCACAGTCAACATTCTTGACCCCAGCAGCCTGGAAATTAAAAGTTGTATTGTGATGGGAAAGACTGCTGTTAGGGACCTCTCCAAAGTACTGAGGAGCAATGGTGTCTCTCTGGAGACTAAGGTGCGTCTGATACTGGCCATGATCTTTGCAGTCACCTGTTAAGCATCAGAGAGCTGGATAATGACTAGGGAGGATAGAAGGATAGTTGATGCCTTTGAGCTGTGGTGCTGGAGAAGGGTGTTGAGTGTACCATGGACTGTGAAGAAAACAAACAGGTTCAACCTAGAGAAGGTTAAACCAGGATGCTCCTTGGAGGCAAAGATTCTGAAGCTTCGTCTGACATACTTTGGACATGTTGTAAGGAGGGACCGGTCCTTGGAGACCCTCATGCTCGGGAGGGTAGAGGGACAGCGCAGGAGGGGAAGACCTTCTACGAGGTAGATTGATTCAGTGACTGGGGTAATCGGGATGGGATGGGTGTGTTGGAGACAGTGATATTGGCACAGGACAAAGCAGAGTTTAGGGCTGTTGTACATAGCGATGGTACATAACAACAACAAAATAAATTTAAAAAGAAGAGTTGCTTTCTGGGTAAGGCGTTGTCAACACTCCTTGCAAATATAAGGCTTCTTCCCCAAGTGTCTCCTCTGGTATGTGATTAATTACAAATTTTGTAAAGCTTCACCCATATTTCTAACCAACAGAAGACATCTCTGAGTGAGTCGTGTCCATGCCATTAGATTTGACATCCTGATAAAGCCTGGCACACAATCCAAGCAAACATAAGGTTTCTTCCTGGTGTGTGTCCTCTGGTGTCTGATGAGATCTGATAAAACTGTAAAGTGTTGCAGACCGAGGGTCCCAAAGAATAGAATAATTTTATAATTATTAATAAAGAGACAAACAGCCAAGAATGAGATAGAGCAGAGAGCATAAAACAGGGGGCCAACAGTTCTCAACTGAAGACCCCAAGCCAAGCTTCTCTCTATCTTTATTGAAAATTATCAGGAAGCAAATCACAAAGAGAATTCAATGCAAATGAAGCCAAGCTCTTTCTATTGAAAACCTTCTGCTTGACTCAGGAAGGAGGGGTTCACAAATGCAAGAATTTGGTCTACCCTTAACTATTAACCTTGATGCCTCAGGGTGAACTCCAGCTCAGGAAGTAACACTCCCTCTGTAGGGGGCCCCTTGCTGTCTCCTGTCTTGCAGGGAACAAACAGCTCATTTTCTAGGATCTGTCACAAGAGAAATTCAAACTTATAAATCTGTAATTCCTTCAATTCCTGAACAAAGGTTTTCATATACTATTTGGTATAAAGTTTGGCTTCCCATAGTAAAGCACTGCCCATACTGCCTACAATCATAAATATTCTCACGTGTGCGTCCTCTGTTGAGTGATGAGATCTGACTTTTTAGGAAAAGCTTTGCCAACACTCCATGCTAACACCAGGCATCTTATGCATGTCTCTATGGGACGCCAAACTTTATACCAAATATTAAATGAAAACCCTTGTTCAGGAATTGAAGGAATTACAAAACTGATAAGTTAGGATTTCTCTTGTGGCAAATCCCAGAAAATGAGCTGTTTGTTCTCTGCAGACAGGAGACAGCTAGCCACCCCCCCCAGAGGGAGTGTTACTACCTGTGAAATACTTCCTGAACTAGAGCATTAGGATGACAATAGAGAAAAATTCGGCTTCATTTACAAAGAATTTATTTTATGATCTGCTTCCCCTACTTATCAATAGATGCACAGAGAAGCATGGCTTGGCCCCTTCAGTGAGAACTGCTGGCCCCTGTTTTATGCTCTCTGTTCTGTCTCATTCCTGGCTGTCTGTCTCATTATTAATAATTATAAAAATACTTTACCCTAGGCTAGTTCTGGTGGCCTAGTGGCAAGAAGCTGCACTGCAATCCCAGAGGTGAGCAGTTGGAATCCAATAGATGCTCTGCTGGAGAAGGAGGGACAATCTCCTCCCGTACCAGTCAGATCTGATTTGATGGCACACACACACACACACAAAATAATAAAAATTTAAAAAAGTAAAATAAAGAAATAAATACTTTACCCTCGGTCTGCAACATGTCTCCACTTGTGTATGATGAAATCTGGTGTTTCCCACACTCCTTGCACACATGACACTTCTTCTCTGAGTGTATTCTTTGGTGAGTGACTACACTTACTGGCAAAGTTTTACCCACACCCCTTGCAGACATTAGTATTGTCTCATTAATGTGTCCTTTGGTATCCAATGAGATGTCCAGATAAAAGGAAGCTCAAATGCTTTGCAAACCTAAGGCTTCTCACCTGAGTGTCTCCTCTGGTGTGTGTTAGGATTTGACACTGTAAAAATTAAAAAAAAAAAAATTAAAAAAAAAGATTTGACATTGTGACAAAGTCTCACTCATACCCCTTGCAAACATAAATCTTCTCCTGTGAGTGTGTCCTCTGGTATACAATTAGATATGATTTCCCAAAAGAGCCTATCCCACACTCTTTGCAAACATAAGGTATTTCTCCTGATTGTGTCCTCTAGTGTGCAAAGGCGTATGATGGCTAGATAAGACTTGCCCACAGTTCCTGCAAGCTTAAGGTTCTCCCTTTTGTGACTCATCTGGTGTGTGTTAACACTGAAGAAATGACTAAAGCGTTGCCCACAATCATGGCAAATGCAAGGCTTCTCAGAGTGTATCCTCTGGTGTGCATTAAGATTTGACTTCCCGGAAAACCCTCGCCCACACTCCTTGCAAATATAAAACTTCTCTACAGAGTGTATCCTCTGGTGTCCAGTAAGATTTGACTTCCTGGAAGAGCCTCGCCCACACTTGCTTTGGTGTCTCTTAAGACTTTGATTGCTGAAAAAGCTCCACCCACACTCCTTGCATTCCAAGGGCTTTTCCCCTGAGTGTGTCCTTTGGTGTATGATGAGATAGGACTTTCGGGTAAAGCCATGTCCACACTCCTTGGAAACATAAGGCTTCTCTCCTGTGTGTATCCACTGGTGTACAATGAGATGTGATAACTGGGAAAAACCTCGTCCACACTCCTTGCAAACATAAGGCTTCTCTCCTGTGTGCATCCTCTGGTGTCTGACAAAATTGGACCTTTTGGTAAAACCTCATGTACGTTCCTTGCAAACAAAAGGCTTCTCCACTGAGTGTATCATCTGGTGAGTGATGAGATTTGGTAACTTGATAAAGTCTTGCTGATACTCATTGCAAAGCAAAGGTCTCTCCTGGAAGGGGGCCTTCTGGTTTGCAGCAAAGTTTAATCCACAGTCTGGGACTTCCTTATCATAACTCACTGATGCAAATCTGATGGTTTCTAATTCCATCGACCTTTGTTCTTTTTCCACAAAGTTCACCCTTTGGGCTGAGATGGGCTCTAGCCCTTCAACTCTGCTCTCTCTGGGGATGGCTGACTCTCTTTGTGGTGGGTTGACAAAGCAAGAGGCATCTAATGTGCATTCCCATGGAGCTGCTCTCTTCTCTGCCCTTCCACAGGAAGTGATGGAGACTTCTCTCTCCTGACCTTCTGTGCATTCACTCCAACAGGTCTCTTGAGAATGGTGCTGGTTTTGCTGTGTCTGAGGCCCTGGGCTGCACACTGCCCGGTGGACGTAATGTTCTGCATACAACTCTGGGAAGATCTGTTGTACATATTGGCTGAGGAACTGCTGACAGCAGAAAGCCAGAAGAAGGCAAGAGGAATAGGAGTCGAATTTTGGCTCTGTTTCTACTGAAGAAAGTTTGCATTAGAGCGGCTGTGACGGGGATTGTAGGGCTGTGTTTCTGCTCTCATGACAAGCACTGTCCCATCAGTGGAGTCCCCACCTCGAGGATTCACAGACTACCACCAAGAATCCAAACCAAAAAAAGCAGGTCAACATAATCTCCCGGGTTCCGGGCATGGTGGTTCTCTCAGCTCCTCTGGATTGTACAGGCTGAGAATTTGGACGGAAGGTTGATACTTGGCAGCGATGTTGAAGTTAGGTTTCAGCACAAGCTGTTTTATATTACATAGGAACAACGGCATCCGGGAAAAACAATTGCTAGAAGTGACTGTGTCTCCTAGAAATACTACCTGACAAAGTAGAACTGCTCAATCACAAAACTTTAATCTTTGCAGACAGAAACTCCAACTTCTCTCTACTATGGACTGGTTCATAGGTCGCAAAGCCCCTATTTTTGTTTGCAGCCAAATTCACAGCTACTGGGCCCTGGGACTCCAACAATAACCACCTGCAGTCTAACATATGTCATGTGAATTAAGAAAGAAAAAGGAGGCGAGCTCTGGTGGCCTAGTGGCAAGAAGCTGCTCTGCAATCCCAGAGGAGTGTGGGGTTTGAATCCACCTGATGCTCTGCTGAAGAAGGAGGGACAATCTCCTCCTGTACGAGACAGATCCGATTTGACGGTACACACATAAAAAAGTAATAAAAATTTTAAAAAGAAAGAAAAAGGAGCTTTTATACTCACTCAAGGAGAGAAGATTTCTATAAATCTCCAGCATCACTTCTTTGTATAAACTCTTCTGTTCGGAGCTCAGGGTCTTCCATTGTGCCTCTGTGAAGTCCACACTGACATCCTCAAAAGTAAAATGTTCCTGAATAAAGCAGATATAGAAAAACATTAGTTCACCATCAATTTTCACAATGAGCAGAACTTCACTTGTCTTGAAGAGTCTGCATCTGAGAAGTCCAATTGTTTCTTTTCAGAGACCAAATCTCAATAGGAAGCAAGGTTTTCTGCATAAGATTGTGCCTACTTTTGTGACAAAGTCTAAGAACAACAGCTAATCACCAAACACATAGTGGTTCTCCACTCATGAGAGAAATTAAGGCTATATGCATTGTGATGGGAAAGTCTGCTGTTAGGGACCTCTCTAAAGTACTCAAGAGCAACGGT